TACAACCGTCTTTGAGTATTTGCCCACTTTTAATTTTCTAATCAAAATTGATAAACTTTAACCATTGATTAAATACAATCGATATTAGACAGAGATACAAAAAAATAATTTTATTAGATTTATTTTATAAATTAATTTTAAAATATTGTTCTATCTAACTCAAATACCATATTATTTTTATTTAATTAAATCAAATGATAAAACTATTTAATTATAAAAAATTAAAATTAGATTATTTGTGTACACACACGAGAGAGGGAAGGGGACTAAATTGACACTTCGGGTTTATTGAGTTTGGGTTAACCTAAAAGTCAAACCCATAACCAAATCTTGGCTAAACACTTGTTCGATTTGATTTGATACTACCTCCTATTCAATTTGAGGGAGTTAAATTTGATGAAATTTAGACCTAAATTAAATTAAAATTGCAATTTATGTTAGTACACAAATGACTTCATTAGATTAACCGTGATGAGAACTTTTATAATTTTATTTTGATTATATTAATATAAAATGTAATATGGGAGTAATTGATGACTGAAATTTGTCCAGTTTGACAAGAAAAAGTTAAAATAGATGAATATAAGAAATACTAAAACAAGCTTTGTTCTAGGGGCATACCAATATTTGTACCATGTTTATGCATCACATTTGTCATAAATACACACCGTCAACAATTATTTGTACACTGTACAGTGTACACATTGGTTTGTTATGTGTGTTATAACAAACATTATGTATAAATATTAGGATACCCCAAGCTTTACTATTAAAATTATACTCCCGCCGTCCCCCAATATTTGTATTGTTTTGACTTTTGGAACGGTTTTCTAAGCACTTTGACTCAGCAAATTCTCTCAATGTGTAAGCCTAAATACACTCATGTGTGATCTTGTTTGATTTGTCTTAACATATAGATTATAGATTATTAATATATAATTTCTATAATTTTTTAATATACAAATTACAAGATAAAATGGAATAAAGAAGTACATTGGATGGTGTGTAAAAATGAAAGTGGACAAATACTTAGAGACGGAGGGAGCATATGATTGGAAAGGTAATGGGCTACCCTAGAAGTTCCACCGTTGGGAGCTTAGAACATTTTCTTTCACCCAATCTGATAAAAATAAGTTCTGAACTAATCTAATCTAAAAAGAATAACATTTAAAATTGTTTCAGATTTGTTTTGGTGTAATTTGATTCGATATCAGTGAGAATAAGTAATAATAATAATAATAATAATAATAATAATAATAATAATAATAATAATAATAATAATAATAGTCTATACTTTATTTAAAAAGACATGAAATCAATATTGCATTTTCTCACCCAAAAAATATGGCCATTACATATGATAATGTAAGTTAAAATGGTAAGTGTCTGAAATTATAGTAATATATAATTTACGCTTTATTAGTATAGTATTATATTTATAATAATTAACTGTCATTTTAAAAATGATAATAAGTGTCTGAAATTTATACTAGCAAGAAAGGTAAGTTATAAAAAATATTTATAAAATAGGCAAAAATTATTTATAACCTTTAATACACGCCAATCAATTGATATTAGTATGAATATTCTTACCATAACTATATGATTACCGTGTGACTAGGTTATATAAAAAAACATGTGTATGATTATAGTATAATATAATTATGGTAAGAATAATTATACATAGTTTCAAAAAAATAATACTCCCTCCGTCTCATGAAACATGAGACTTTTGCTTTTTAGAAAGGATTTAAGGGGAGTGTATTTTGATATTGAATTTCCAAAAATGTCCTTTGATGTGATGGGTAAAAGTATGATTTGATGGATAGATTATTAGTAAAAAGGTATGATGTGATAGTTAGTGTATGAAAAAGTAAGGGGTAAAAGTGACTTTTTAATAGAAATGAGAAGTGTTTTGTGGGACGGATAAAAAAAGAAAGGAGAAAGGTTTCATGGGACGGAGGGAGTACGATAAAACCCTTTAAATATATATTCATATTTATGTTTAATAGCAAAAAAAGATAATAACCAAAAAAATGTAATAATTATTACTCTGTGCAATTATTACCTATATAAATGGTAAGTGTCCGAAATTATAGTGTCCATAATACACGCCAATCAATGTTATTAGTATGATTATTCTTATCATAATTATATAATTATATGATTACCGCATGACTAGGTTATATAAAAAAAACGTGTGTATGATTATAGTATAACATAATTATGGTAAGAATAATTTATACACACAGTTTCAAAAAATAATAATATGATAAAACCCTTCAAATATATATATTCATATTTATGTTTAATAGCAAAAAAGGTAATAACCAAAAAATGTAATAATTATTACTCTGTGCCATTATTACCTATATAAATGGTAAGTGTCCAAAATTATAGTTATCCTCAATCTGTGTAGGTTAACTGTTTTCTCGCGTGTGTTGTTTGCTAAGGAAGTTGAAACATGTGATCATTTGTTTTGTTCCTGCTCATATGTAAAATCAATACATGAGTTTATTTCTAGATGGATATAGTATGCTATTTCTTTTAACTCCATTGCTCCGGTGGAGCCAAAATTTTGCCATTTTGTGGCTTTGGCTGTGTTATGGAATCAATCAAAATGAATCTTTTCTTTAATTAATGAAGTAGCAGTTAGTCAAGCAATGCAACTTTCGACGTTGAGTCGGGGGTTTCTTTGGAAACAGCCTCTCTACTTTCGAGTAGGGGTAAGGTCTGCGTACACATACCCTCCCCAGACCCTACTCTTGTGTGATTTCACTGGGTTGCTGTTGTTGTTTGTTTTGTGGGGGCAGAAAATGAGGGTGGAGAAAATAGGAACTATTGTTGGCACATTGCTACATGTATAGTTGCATGCTGTTATTTCTTATGGAAGGCCTGAAACCTCAAAATTTACAGCAAAAGGGAGGTCACTAAAGAGTATATTGTGAAAGCAATGAATACTATTGTGATGGCGGTTGCGCATAGACATGGTTCACTTGTTTCTTGATGTTTGTTGTTGCAGTATTGGCCTGTTTTTCTGGTTTTGATTGTATGTGGTAGGGCAATGGTAGTTTGAGACTTCGTAGATTGTTGGTTTTGGTGATTTAGTATTATGTGCTTTGTTCTATTAAAAAACAGTTTTCCCGTTGCAGAGCAAGATCTGAGTAGACCATTGAACGTGCAAGGATTTGCATCCGCCAAGGCCTTGGAGATTGTGGAATCCATCCATCGAGTTCTGAACTTTTCTACATCAATACTCATCCAAGCCCTTAAGGAAAAGAACACCAGAGACCTCTACGCGTACCAAATCCGATTCATGGTCGGCTCTATCCTGTTACCCATTCCGGGGTATAAAAGCACAGAGCAAACCTACTATTAGAGGTGTTGTCCTAGTGATGTGTTACTTTAAGATTGATGTGGAGGTGAGTATTTCATTCTTTTTTCTTGGCATCTATTGCTTAATTTGCTTGTAATTTTTTTTGTGAGTATTGTTTATTTTTTGATTAATTGGATAGTTTGCTAGTGGGTGATTTGGACTTTTTATGACATGCTCTGTAAATTATTGTTGGAATTTGTCAATTAAGGGTTGCTAATAAGATTGGAAAATGGATGGTAAATTTAGGTTGGAATTTGTTCATTATGCATATCTTTAGCTTAATAACTAACATATTCACCTCTTCCAATCTTCTATTTCAATCTTCATCCATTCCCATCTTCATAAATAATTCATGTGCATCTTCATTTTCAATTTTCATTCTGCCCCGTATAGATTTTACAAATTTTGATTTCAATATATAACCTTACCACTATTTTAAATCTCATTTATACTTTATAGTTTGTTCCAAAGTTTAAGCTTAATTTTAAGTACAAAACAACATGGCCCTCCCCCTCAAGAACTGCACTCAATTGCATCAACAATCACAAACAGAGGTAAAGAAGGTGCAAGGAACGTTAAGATGAGTATATTTGGACAGAAATGGGATATACTCACCAAGAGAGCTTGCTCAAAATACCATTAATGGAGGTCTTGAGCTTGAGGAGGAAGATGATAAATTAGCAGAGATTTCACAAGCTTAGAGTTGTCAATTGCACAAGGAATGAAGTGATGAATATATAAAAACAGACCAGTTCCCATAACATTGAAAATCAATGTCATGGGATGATCCAGGATGCACCGGTACCCTGTTCGTAAAATTGACGGTTCCTACTCCCTACCCCCTAGTAAACCTCCCACCCCGACCTGAACACACCCCCTACCCCTGGTAAACCTCCCACCCCGACCTTTACACACTCCCTACCCCCTGGTAAACCTCCCACCCCGACCTGAACACACCCCCTACCCCCTTCAATTGCACCTCCTAAGTTAATGGTTAATTGATGCTGACTCCGTCTCTAAATATTTCTCTAATTCTGACCTTTTACAAATAATTACTTTCAATCTTTGACTAATAATTAAATAAAATTTATATGAAATGTTAATTAGATAAAATATTATTTAGGAAATATTTTAAAAAACTTATCCAATAAAATTACTTTTATATCAATGTCTAATATCAACTTTTATTAATTGGTAGTCAGAATTTGTTCATTATGACTGTAAAATTAAATTGGACATACAAAAGTAGTATTTTCTAAATCGATGACCAAAATAAATTTTTTGCTTCAAATATCAATTGTGAAAGATGTGCAACACATTAAAGGCATTCATGAAAACAACAATGTAAAACAAATAAGATCACCTTTTTAACACAAGTTCCCCCGCTACATATAGAGTGTGTGTGTGTGTGTGTGTGTCTATAAATATATAGATAAGCATTTGGATGACAACCTACATTCTCCATTGACCCCCGCTACATGTATATATATATATATATATATATATATTTATAAGGGTGAGTGCACAACCCCCGCTACATGCCTCCCATGGGGTTTATTTATGAAGAAATGGAGAGTGCACAGATAGGCATAAAAAATACCCTCGGTGGGCAAGAAAAAAATACCTGCCCATTTGGAAGATAATAGATAAGCATTTGGATGACAACCTACATTCTCCATTACATGTGCAGGATACCATTTAAATCCTCAATTGTTCTATCCAAATGCACGACAAATTCTTGCAGATGAAGAAGTATGTGACAGATTCACAAAATGTGTGGAGAAAATGTTGATTCATGACATTGTAGGAAGTTTGAAGTTCTCTAACAAGATATTGAACTACACAAATGCTACCCGGCATCAGTGCCCGACCAAACAGCCCTGTTTAGGTACACTCGGCCACCCAAACAGCCCCAACAGACCCAATAGCATCTATTTGAAACCAAACAGACCCCATTACATCCAGTTGCACCCAACCGGACCCAATTGAACCCAAGGGAACCAATTGGACTCAATTGAATCCAAGTGGACTCCCCCAAGACCAACCCCAGCCACTGCCGGCTCTGGCTGGACCGCCGCCCCACCGCCGGCGTTCCGCCGGGAAAACAGCCCGGTTTTAACCCACAACATCTCAATCAAAAACAACCAAATTCACGATCAATTCAAGAATACACGCTAAAAGAGTTCTAATCTACGAACTAACACTAACGGAAGGTATAGAAACCACAACTCACCTCAGAAATTGAAGAAATCAAAACCCTAGATTAATAGGGAAGGTCGCCGCTGCTCCTCTGGTCTCGCCGGATTGGACGCTTAACAACGGAAGGAGGACGAGGATGGAGGTCGACGACGAGAACTCGGTGGTCCGGCAGAGTACCTGGTCGGCGGTCATCGAACGGAAAGAAACTGCTGGGGAGGGGGAAGACTGCGCGTCGGGCGAACGTTCTAGTCCTACCGCCTACAAACTCCTGGTCTTATTATATGGAGTAATAACCATTATATAACCCGGAGTATAATTTTTTTAGGGTCCAAATTACACTTCCTAACCAATTAGGATGAGTTTAAGTCCAATTATGTTATTCGTTAGTCGTATTTTGGGACTAATAAATCCGATTCGCAAGCTGTCTGCAGGGTCAGATTCAGAATAGCTAGCTCTACAATGTAGGATAAATCCGCATGTTAATAACGTAAATTAGAAAATAATTTTCGTATTGACCAACTCATTAATTAATGAATTATATAAATTAATTAAAAATACTAAATCGCGTTTCGGGGTGTTACAGACCCGATACCCGAATGAAGTGTAATTCCCCTAATCATGGGATTGCGAGGTGGTTGATGACTGATTTCCAGTCACGATTGATACATGATTAGAGATTTACTGATAGTGTATCGCACGAAATGTTACATGTCTTGTATACGGTAGAAGTAGATTATAAATAGAGGATTGTAGCCCAAGCTAAATATAGCTTATATATAAACACCCAAGAGTTCTTATTTTCTCCGACATAATTATTATTACTCCCTCCGTCCGGAAAAGAAGCTCCCGGTTTGACTTTTTGGGAAAGCTCACTTTGTGTGTAAATTGTCCAAAAAGCCTCTGCCCTTCACCTGCGCTTCGCCGGCCATTTCACCATACCTTTATTCTACTACCCTCCCCAACACCATTGCCGCCCCTTGCTCCGATCATCTCCGCCGCAGGCGTGCCGCCACCGTCAGCTTCCCCTCCGTCGCAGGCCCGCCGCCCCTTGTAGATCTGGGAAGACTGAAGATTTTGACTAGGGAGAAGAAGAAGAAGAAGGTGACCAAAGAAAGAGAAAGAAAAAGATGATGATGATGATGAAGAAGGTGACCAGAGAAAGAGAAAGAGAAAGAAATTTGAGAAGAAGAGGAGAAAGAATTGGAATTGAAGAGGAGGAGGAGAAATAAATGGATAGGGGAAGACATTAGAGACAAGGGATTGAGAATTGAAAATGAAGGGAGAAAGAGAAAAAGGAAGAAGAAAGAAGGAGAGAAGGGTATTTTCAGGAATAATGAGTATGAAAACGTATAATGGGAACTTTTTTTACCGATGGAGAAAAGCGTAAAATCGAAAATTCTTTTTCGGATGAAGAGAGTATTCTATTGTTCATCATACGCCATGATTGCTGGGTCAAATCTCATTACATACTTTTCACAAAAAGTACATGTTTACACTCAAGTTTTTAAAATTGCACCTCAAAATTTTGGAAGTGCACCAATAGTCCCTAATACCCTATAATTTCATAAATTGCATGATTTCCCCTGAACTTTTAGAAATGCACAATTAGTCTTGTTTTTATTTTCTTTTTGTTTTTGTTTGGTTAAAGACGTTATATAAAGTAATCCAATCCAGCATGTATTCCAAATTAAATAAAATAAATTCAAATATTTATTAATTCAAATTCAAATTATCATTTCAAACAAAAATGTATCCCAAATTAAAAAACATATTATTAAAAGCAGTAATGAACTCAACAAAAGGGGGTTGGTTGGCAATACATTTTTTGAATGGCAAGAACTCAAGTACTCAACATATCCATTTAAAAGTCGTCCATAGCCCATAAGGCCATTATCATCATCATCATCATCGCCATAAACCGACCATACAAAACTCCAAGCAAAATTTCATCTAAACACCATACTGAACAACAAGAAGAACAAAATGTGCTTGACAGACAGTTCAAATATGAGAGGAGGGGGGGAGGGGGGAGAAGAAGACTGACGGTTGGCATGAGAAGTGAACAGGACGAGATCGTTCGTTCACGCTTCTAGAAGATCTTGAAGAGCAGACCGCCATGAGTGGCGAAGAAGGGAGCGAACACAAGGGATTCGACAGCCATGAGCTTGATGAGAATGTTGAGTGATGGCCCGGATGTGTCCTTGAGAGGATCGCCAACTGTGTCGCCAATCACAGCAGCTTTGTGTGGATCAGATCCCTTGGGACCAAGTGTTCTCGCATGTTCTGAAGCTCCCGCCTGTGTTATCCAAAAAAAAACAATTATTCTTTCTCATCATATTGTAGAGGAGTGACAGGGACAAGTTCTCAAAGGTCCAGCTTGTGGGCCCCACTTAATAAGAGAAAAGAGTCATGCTTGAAACCTGCCAAATTTGACACCAATAGTTTGACACCAAGCGTTTCACCGACATGTACATACAATTGTTGTCTGTGACGCACAATCACTATTTGTGCATGTCTCTAATACTCTTGTCAAACTCTTGGTGTCAAACCTGGTGAGTTTCAAGCAATTTTGAAGAGATAAAGATACACTCCTTCAATTCCTAGATGTTTTACGAAATCAAGTAATGTGAAATGCACTTTCTAGAATTGTCACTCGTTTGGAGCCATGTTGAATCATTTTGAATAATAAAATTATCTCCAAATTAGGAAGGTGAAAATAAGTTTTTACCTCGATATATTTCTTGGCATTGTCCCAAGCACCACCGGTGTTGGATGCAGAAATTGCAATCTAAAACAAGAAAATGCACATCAGCACCAGTAATCAAGAGAGACTTCTGATACTATTTGAAGATATCAACTCTTCAAAGAATATGGCATATACAACTTTTAGTACAAAATTGAAAAGGCAACTGGAAAATGTGTGTGGGTGGGGGGGGGGGTACCTGGACACCAGAGACGAGAGATCCAGCAAGAACGCCGGACAACGTTTCCACGCCGAAGAAAATCCCAACAATTAGTGGAGTGAGCATGACAAGAGCACCGGGGGGAATCATCTCCTTGATGGAGGCATCGGTGGAGATCTTGACACAGTTTGTGTAGTCAGGCTTGGCAGTGCCCTCCATGAGTCCAGGGATGGTATTGAATTGCCTGCGCACTTCCTCAACCATCTTAAGAGCAGCTTTTCCTACACTCTTCATTGTCATGGCGGAGAACCAATATGGAAGCATCGCACCAACCAGCAACCCAATAAACACTTTTGGTGTGAGGACGTCCACTGTCGAAATTTCAGCTCGGCTCACAAATGCACCAAACAGTGCTAGTGACACAAGAGCAGCAGATCCAATTGCAAATCCCTGAAATAATTTTTTTTTTAAAATATAGTAAGCAAGTCTTTCATGGTTAAATTACCAAGATGGCTACTATGTTGAAGAAAGGTACAGCTCACCTTCCCAATTGCTGCAGTGGTGTTTCCTGCAGCATCAAGGGCATCGGTTCTCTCACGGATCCTATGGCTCATGCCAGCCATCTCGGCAATCCCTCCAGCATTGTCACTGATGGGACCATACGCATCAATGGCCAAACCAGTAGCTATGGTGCTCAACATTCCAAGAGCAGCAACAGCTATGCCATACATTGCAGCAAAGCTGAAACTAACAAAGATGCTGATGGCGATGGCAAAGATTGGAATTATAACCGATTTGTAACCCAATGCAAGGCCAAAAATAACATTTGTAGCAGCTCCAGTGCGGCAAGAATCTGCAACATCTTGAACGGGACTGGAAAACAATGGAGACTAAAGTTACTAGCAGTGATGGTTGAGGGCATTTTAGGAATGAATAAAAAGATACTTGTAAGCAACCACTTACCTGTAAGCATTGCTTGTGTAGTACTCTGTCACAAAACCAATAATAAGCCCAGCCCACAATCCAACACATACACACAAGAACAATTGCCTGCAAGTTTAATATATCAAGTAGCTGTCATCATTATGTTTATGGCTCTAGCTTTCTAGGAGTGAGAGTCTCACATTCATGCTTTTTGTATATCAATTATTCGGTGCTGATCATAAATATTTAAAAAAAAAATGGAACTGGATGCGCATGTCTTATACTTTTACCAACTCCCAAAAGATAAGCGACAGAAAACTCACCAGCTCTGTACCTCCTTCTGAGATCCAAAGTTGAAAATGGTGAAGGAAGATGGAAGTGCAATCCAGGTAACAATAGCAATTCCAACGGTCATCAGGGCAGTGGAGATAATAAGTTGGTTCTTCAATGCTGGCTCAATTTCTTTTACAGCCTTGACTTCAAAGAAATCAGTTGCAAATAGAGTGGTGAGCAAACAAACAAGGATTCCTACAGAACTGACAAGAAGAGGATAGAGCATAGGTGTAAACTCATGGTTGATCCCAAAGGAAGAAATTGAAGCAACAACAAGGGCTGCACATGATGACTCTGCATATGAGCCGAACAAGTCTGACCCCATACCAGCAATATCACCAACATTATCGCCAACATTGTCCGCAATAACCTGTTATCATTGCATAAAGTCAGAAGACCAACTATCAAAACAGTTTACTTCTCTAGACTAGAAAAATGAAACCAAAATCATACTGCTGGATTTCTGGGATCATCCTCCGGAATATTCCTCTCCACCTTCCCCACAAGATCAGCGCCAACATCTGCAGCTTTTGTATATATACCTCCACCAACTCTGCCAAAGAGGGCCATTGAAGATCCACCGAGACCATAACCAGTTATGGACTCAAACAAGCCTTCCCAGTCATCACCATAATACAACTTGAAGAGATTGATGGTAATATACAGTACCAAAAGACCATTAGCAGCAAGAAGGAAGCCCATCACTGCACCAGATCTAAATGCAGTAATGAAAGCCTTTCCAACACCCTTTCTAGCTTCCAAGGTTGTTCTCGCATTTGCATAAGTAGCTATTTTCATTCCAAGAAAACCAGAAACCACGGAAGTAACAGCACCTAGAACAAAGGATATGGTGCTAAAGACAGCAGTAGCAAGAGCAGGCTTGCACAATTTGGTATCATCATAGGTGCACGCCTGACTCTTTGTGCTAAAGCCTTCAACCGAGCCGAGGAAGACAAAGATCAAAACAGCAAAAGCAACCATGAAAATACCAACATATTGGTATTCAGTGAATAGGAAAGAAGTTGCACCTGTAACACAGCAAATACATGATTTGACATTAGAAGCATGCCCGCAGGTGTCACAAACTCAGACCACTAAATCACTAGACATATAACTAGCTTACTTTTGTGGTTCCCTAAGAGAGAAAGGTGCTGGCAAGAAGTTAAAATGGACAAACAAGATAA